TCTATATTCTATCGAAATTGAACTTGCAATTCGTATCAATCACTGGAAATAAATGGGAATTAACATTAATCTCACATTTAATTTCTATTTGTTCGCCTAGAAATCGAATTAAGCTATCAATTAAATTTAATTTCTCCGTCATTTCGTCTCAAATTCTGATGGGAAAAATTTTCTTTCTTCATCATATTTCCACCAATTTTTGATTGATTCTCATTTTCCAAAATTAAAAAATCACACAAACTTATTATGCATAAAAATGAATCTTTCTCAGTAACTCCTGTCTTCTTTTTTCTTGTATACTAGTCTCAAAACTCTGGGATTATATTGACTATATAAATTCAGGGTCCAGAAATATAGAGTCGACATTCAATGTTCGCGATATAACTCCTACGTATGACTGTCATTCAAATCATATAGCTCATCTCTTTGGCTATATAAAGTATCGAGAATTATAGTCCACAAGTTGGTGAAATTAAAGCATCACGCGATAAAAAATAACTCCGTGTCTACCTGGCTGGAGTTTCTAGTCACTAAAAAGGTTCGTCAACTATTCTCGATTAATTTTTATCACATTCTTTTCTTTACATAATCCTACAGTTCCTATCTTTGACGGTTTGGTAATGGTTACTGAATTGAATTTATTCATCAACAACTAAACCGTGATTGTCACTAACTAACCTTGAGGTTAACGTAACCTCAATGTTTTCTATTTATTTTTTATCCAAAGGCAAACTGTTTTATTTCTATTAGTACAATTGATCACATCGATATCAATTATAAACATCTACGTATGCGTAAAACTGCTTGACCATTTGTGATTAATGTGCAGTGATTGCATTTTAGTTTTTCATTTAATTCCATTGGCCCAATCTGGTTTAATTTAACGGGTAATTGAATTAACTTAAATTTCATTGTGATTACGGGATTCGATTATTCATTGATTAAAATGTGAATCTTTTTTTTATTTATCCGGAACAACAATAAGACAGGAACACTGAAATGTTTTCTTTCACGTGAATTATTTCTTCGCTTTTGTAATGGAATTATTTATTTGTTTAGAACTTACTGCATTCAAATTCGGTATTAAAACTTCTGCATAACATTCCGAGTTCATTTGTATAATTTTTTTAATGAGAGACGAAAAAAATGACAGGAAAAAAGAGACGAAAAAGTTTACGAAAAGTTTATCTAAAATATTATCTAAATGTAAAAAAAATTGTATAACCCTTGCGTTTAGCTTTTTTATTGCCAAAAACGCTCTGAAATGCTGCTGGCTTTTTTTCTATAGAAATTTTATAGAATCACCAAAAAATTGATAGGAGTTTTCAAGTACAAATGGAATAAAGTTTACGAAGAATTCGATAATATTTTCTATTATATAATATAATATAATATAATTCGATAATATTTCTATATTTTGCATTGGAAATTGTAGATTTTGTGAGGATTTACTCCAATGATTTTCTTCAATCCTTTCCTTTTATATCCATAACTCGTTTATCTTTCTGCCATATTCACCAATTACAATAATGGTATAAAATAATTTCTTTAATGAACCGAGGATAAATTGATATCGGTTGGAATCGGCTAGAATTGAATCGACGGATATCTTGTAAATGAAGAGTGACAGAGAAATTTCCATAACTATTTTTTTTTGCCGAATAACATGTGAGTGAAAATAACAGTTTATATAGAAATTTCGCTATCCCTTCTTATTCAGAAGATATTCATCGATGATTGGGACTAATCTAAACGTTGCATTAATCCTAGTCTACTAAGTCTCAGCCTATTATGTCTTATAACAGGGGTTTTCCTGAAAGATTGTATTTAATTATATTTAATTGTGTTTTTAGTATTTATAGCGGATTTCAGCGATGTCATTCCTCACCAAAGAAGATCGCCAAGCCTGTTGGGACCTGCGAGATGAATATTGGAAATGTCTTGATGACGCGAAAACCGAGTCTGAGTGTCAAGAATTTAGAAAAAAATATGAAAAATTTTGTCCCTCACAGTGGGTAAGATATTAAACCAACATCATTGCATACGAATTTCGATAAACACAATGATTTATCTATTTTTTTCTTAGGTGAAACATTTTGACCGGAAGCGAGAGTACCTGAAGTTTAAAGCTCAAATTGAACAAGATGGATACATTGAAGAACATCTGCCAAAACGAGTAGGGCAGCAAAAATAGTCAAATCTCTACCAGAACGCAACCCGAGTTAACAGTGTGATGTTTAAATCAATTTTCATATTATCATTTTTGTTAATAAAATAAGTACCTGTATTAAATTAAATACGTCACCTCGTTTGTAATAATATGTTATTTAACCCTTTAAGCTGTTCTGGCAATCTATGAAAAATGCTAAGAGAATTAGAGGAAAAAAAAAGAATTTCCTCTCTTCAGGAAAGAGTTTCTATCGACACTGCGTTATTGTAACAACTGGATAGAAATCCGAACAGTAAGAACAAAATAGCTCCAGTGGATGTGCCTTGTTGTATTTATCTTCCTCGTTGAATTCTCAATTTACATCGGTCTTTAGTGAGTAATAATTATGATTATATTATATAATTATCAATAATGATAACAGAGGGAAAATTCTGCGAAACGGCTATTCATTTCTCTATCGCTCCTGGCTATTGTTTGTACTATCTCAGATATACCATAATTGAAATACAATAGTTTTGCTGGTATTTACTGGCTGACTTTCCTCTTGAAGTTATTCAAGTCGTGTTCTATCTCCTACCGATTGAGCACGAAGAAATTCAAATGCAGTGTAACGTCACCATCCATTCTACAAATGATAACGGTAAAAGCGATTAAAAAATACAATTCTCATTAAGGATTTATTACCGATAAACTTCCATTCTTCATGTTTTTTGTAGATTTCTGGGAAACTCTGGATGAGATTGACGTAGAACATTATGCCGTTTTTATGTTTTACCATTACAAAGTGACTGATAAATTTTTATAGTTGTGTCCATTTTTCTAAATTGTTAGTAAAGTTTGAATTTTTGCAAAAGTTTATTGACAATGTAGGAAAATTCTACCTGGGTGACCCATCGTGAGACATTAAACAATAATAAAGCTCCAAAACATGAGGAATAAGCTAATATTGGCAATAACAATAACATAAAAAATTGAAGTTGTAATAATGGTGATTAATTTTCATGTAGAACCAACCTGGCGTAGTCAGCTTAATTTTTTCGTCGGTCTTTATTCCTTCACGTACGAAATATTTTCAACGTTATGAAAAAATTCTTATGAAAAGGCCGATTTGAAGTTGACATAAATGTTCATGAAAGTTCCGCCAGTAACAAAGTGTCTGACTAGTCATACAAAATGACAGAAATTGTATTCATTGTTTGGCGATATTCACAATTCGTGATGAAGAGGCGCAAGTCTCATGCCACGAGTTCCTCGAAAATTTAGATCCAATTCCCGCGTGGAAAAAGATATAATACCAAAATCATAACTGAAATATATTTTTTTTACTGGAATGATATCTTAAATATATCTAACTTATACTTAAAGTAAATCTTCTATAACTCTATGTAATTGAATCAAATATATCTCATATAACTTTTTTTTTCGAAACTTACGCAACCTGTATTTGAATACAATTGTCATATTTTTCTGGATATATATTTTTTCCGTGTGGATAGAGAAAAATCATAAGTTGAATTGACATGTCGGAGGTCTAATGATCGAACGGATCAAAGTAAATATGGAAAGGTATTCAAATATTGGGTAAATTTAGTGGTGCCACCTTGAGAATTCGAGTATTACCAAATTGGCAACACCGCGCGGCGAAGAAAGCGTATACCGCGTATACCTCGCTTCGATTATCCGGTCATCGGTTGAGCAACTTTGTTGAGCGTCAATAAAAAGTAACTCGCGAAAAAAACATATTCATCGAATTTGTTGTATGCTCCGTGTTGGACACAAGCACCGCAAAATTTCACATAAAATAAACATGAAGAAAAATAAGGACGTGTCGGACGACGAGGACGAGTACTCCGCAGACGATCCTGAGGAAGTCGAGGGAGCATCAGAGGAAGACTGGAATGCTGAGCTTGGTGCTGAGGTATGTACCCAACATTTACATTTATAACTGTTAGTCTCAGGCAAATTCATCAATAAATTTTTAAGATATCCTCTAATGCCTTGTTATGCACACTTTTTATCATTCTTGTGCATATAAAAATGATTATCGATGCTTGTTGAAGTGAAAAATGCCTGATGCCACTGTCAGACATTAGCGGCCTATTACATATTTTCATGTGCTTGTGTTTCCCATTTGCCGGAACAATGAAATTAACATTTCTTCGTTATTTATTATTTCATGATATTTTTCGTTTTAATCAGGGGTATTTTTCAATGTACAGAAAATCAATATGTACTAATGGATAACTTCGTTAACCAATCATTAGAGTCCGTGTATATTGCATGACTGCGTAGAATAAGGACTTTGCCGGCATAAGTGTTCATACTTGCGATTGGCGGGAATGGAGCAACTCTCATTCAATTCTTCATTTCTAGGGTGGAACGAAGAAAAGGGCACGAAGGGGTGCGAAAAAAAGACAGCATTCTGAAGAGGAAGAGGAAGAGGAGGAGGAGGATGAGGAAGAGGATGAGGAAGACGAGGAGGAGGATGAGGAATCTGATGAGGAGGATTCAGCCAAGAAACCTAAGAAAAAGCGACGCTCTAAAAAGGAAGAGGATGACGAAGAAGATTCTGATGATAACAATTTTAATGATAACTCAGGAATTCCCCCTAAAGACTACACTGTACATGTTTTATTCACATCTTGATTCTCGAGCAAAGTGGTAAACCGGAGTATAGACATTTTTCAAGGCCAGTGCTTAGATTGTACCTGGCAATTGAAGGAACATAGCATTATTTTTGTATATTTATTTTTTATTTTTTTGTATATTTTATGAAGAAATGGGAGAGTTACAAAAATATATCTACGACAGCATCGCAATGCTCTTTTAGTTCCGGAATATTTGGCGAAAAATGGCCGTGGAAAACATATACTTATTCCATTTAACCACTTCGCAACAGAATTATACAGACTTGTACATATTCCGACAATTATAAATAATCAAATTTTTGTTTCTTTTTTTTTATATCAGTCTGGAGCATTTGTCGTCGCAAAAGCGGATGTTGGAGGCGACAGTGATCCCACTTTGTGGAGGATAGATGGCAAGGCTCTTCTACAAAAATATTTGCCATTCAAAGAAGCAGGGAAAACTCTTTATAAAAGCACATCTACGGTAATCAACAGTCTTTCAAATATTTTATTCATTAGACATCCCACAAAATCTTGTTGCAACTTCTGGCCTCAATATTTTGATCTCTATATTTTCATAACTCATTATGCATTCAGAAATGCCGGAGGAAACTAATTTATAGCCCTCTATCTCTTCAAATAATGAGCCATTGCATGATAAGGTGTTTGTACTGATTTTTTCCATCAATTGATGTTGGCTGTACTGATTGTGTTGAGAAAAAACACTGCACGTGGTTTTCAATCAAAAACAGTCCACATGAAAAAAAAATGTATCATTTTTCTTTTAAAATCATTTTTTACCTGGAGAATTCGTATCTGAAACTTAAGAAACTTCACGGAGTACCATTGCTCTCCATTTTTCTCTATAATTGTTTCTTAGCGAAAAGCTGAGAAAAATATATAAACAGTATATAAAATTTGAAACGTGGATTAATTATTATCCGAATTTCAATTAGATGAAAAAGTAAAATGATTGAATTTCAAGATCTTCACACTGTCGCAATCTGATTGCTTAATAAATTCATTTAAAGAAGAATTCGAATTACTCCTCGTGAATCCACAATTTGATTTTATATCAGTATCGAAGTAATAATTGTGATAAGTCGACTTATCTCTGCAATCAGTTTGTCAAGGATATCTCCAAAATTATGAGAGATAGTAATTTTTTCACACCTTTCTGCGTAGCTCTTCATAAACTATAAAAGAAGGCGAAAAATTGCCAGAGGCGTCGTGAACATTCTGTTATTATAAACGAAATAAAATTTGTTTTGATTTTTCCTCAGTACTCGGGATGGTCGGTGAATAATAAAGACAAGTACTTGGCGGCCCAGGTTACCTTCAAGGTGCAGAACAGAAACGAAACAGTCGTTGAGCTCCACCTTGATCAACAACAACAAGAAAGCGTAAAGTAAGCGTTTGAGAAGTAAATAAAAGCGGAAGAAATCGGATCCACGTATCATCAGTGTCGTTTGACTATCTTTAAACTCACGTTTCAAATTGACCATTCACATGCTGTAGTCGAATGATTCTTCTCTTTATTCCAGGGTAGATAAAGAAGGGTAAATATCCTCGGAATATTTCTTCAACTCCATCATTTTCTGTTTATTTACGAAGTTCTACTTGGTGAAACAACTTGGTACATCGATTAAACCAAAGGAATTAATGTCGCACTTTTTTCTTTCATTTTTTATGAATCTCCCTGCCCTCAACAATTTCAATAAAATGAATGCCAATTTACGAAAGGGAGCATTGAAGGTTATTATTGTGATTTTCACATCAACATAATGTTTCAAAGATTTTCAGCAAAAGCGCCATATTAATTCATTGCTGAACAAGCTAGCCACAAAATCATAGGTACAGACTGTTGTTCCATTGTTGATGAAAAATACTATCACACGTGTTTAAATGTATTCCAAACATTGTCATATATTACTGATACAAAATAACTATTTCCAAAAATGAACCTTTTGTTTACCATCGTGGATTCGAATAATCATTGTCATAATTGACAATGTCATTTTTTCAAAATAGCAGTAATGTTATGATAATCATGTACGACTCATTATGGATCAATTCTTATGTTTTAAAGAAATTACTGAGTGAGTGAAAAAAATGTATAATCTCCCTTTTGTTTTTTCCGTTCTTATTCGAATAAAAATTGTGAAAATGTGAATAACTCTGTCTTCATTAACTTGTTTACACTTTGACATAAGAAAATATCTGATTATTCGGTAAAGATGCAGTAAAGAGCCCTTGTCCCCTGACAGAATTCCATTCAAATCACTAATCCAACCGTCCCTTATTATTAGGTTGTCGTAGTAATCTATTGTTGTGAAGACGATTTAATATATTAATATATTAATAATACCACGCATCACTGCTCTTTGCGTTATCCAAAGTCATCGACGTGAACGTGGACGTGGTGGTGTATCTTGTCTCATGACAACATATGTTGATACAATTACAAACAACATAAAGATATATGAATGCAAACACAAGAATAGATCAACAATGCTTTACGCTACCGCTCTTCTATCATTCTCCCATACGGCTGTCAATATATTTAATAATTAACGTAATAATTGGATGTGGTAGATGAGAGCTGAGGGGTAAGCTGTTACATTGCTAATTACCATTCGTGTTTACACTTGAATGTTGAGGTGGGTGAAGTGTGTTGATTGTCGCAAGTATTTTATCGATCACATGATACTCAATACTACGTTTGAATGAGTACTCACAAAGTATTCATGATAGAGATCCTTTATCCTGCATTCGCCGAGTTCACACAAGTATCCTGGCGATACGTTAGACGCATTTTCACCCGCAATGCCGATCACACGCGAAATTATGAAAACCGCTAACTGTCAACGATAACGTTTTATCAGAACTAGGTACCTTACTTATTTACGAGTTTAATCTCTATAGACTAGATTACGGATGTTCGACACCCTTTTAGCCAGAGCTCACATTTTTTAATACTTTCCTGGTAACTCGCTGATGGAATTGACGTAAAAAAATATGTTCTTGCGTTCTGTTATCGTTTAATGGCTCAGGAATTTTCGTGGTGGTGTAATCATTTTGCGATTTTTTTTTAATTTAGGAAAATGTTTGTACCACCTTGAAATTTCGTGAGCCATCAGATAAAACCAGAACGCAAAAACATTGCTTCACGTCAATCCCATCGTAGGTTCGTCGAAAAAAGGAAAATAATGTGAATTTTGGCCGAGGAGTGTAGAAGATCATGAAGAGGTTTTTCTAGAGATGAATTTACTATATATTTATCGATTATTTAGTAATCGCCACCAGAAGAAGTGCGATTGTGACGTCTATTTTTTTATATAATTTCACAATTTCACAGTCCAGGAATTCCAACGTCGATTAGGATATTATGGATATTATAGCAATATAATAACTTAGAGTGTGCGCTGCACCTGCAAGTTGTGGTAAGTTCTACAAATTTGCTGTTTTAATCTGTCTTGATTTGTATAGAATTTTTCACAATATCCCAAAAAACTCTGCCAAGTTCTGAGTGTTAAAAAAAATTCTCATATAAAATTTTAGAATCACAATGAAGAGGATCGATGAAGGAACAATTTTGGTAATTATATCTTAAAATGCTCTTTTCTACCTTTTTTTTAAAGCTCTTTGTATGACCGTTCACTTGGATGAAAATCTCAAAAAATGAAAAGTCTTAATTTTGTTTTTGGTAATTACGTTAAAAAATTACAAAGTATTTCATTGCATATTTCTTAGTATTTCTTCTTCCAGTCAATTCAACAATTTTTTAGATAAACTTGTCATGAATTCTTCCCAAAACCGTAAGAAGTTTAGGTGATTACTACGTAATTGAAACAATCGATATTCAATGAACCTCCAGACTTTTAGTGTGAATCAACATTCGTCTTTTTATATTTACGTTTCACTTCCAGATTTGTTTCCATCGGGTTCAAAATGAAAAACAGTAAATATTCTCCTTTAAGATAATTATTTATTACATAATAAATTCTGAAAACTAAAAATACATTGGAGTAGAAGTACAATGGGGTATGCCTCATTCGCATTCGAATCTACTTCGGTTTCAATAGTTCATTTATCGAAGGGGCAAGGGAAAAGTCTTATTCTTTTCTTCAGTAAAATATAACAAAAATCAATATAAATACCCAAGAAAACTTGAGTGACTATGTGAAATGAGCGGTTGTTCCCTTTAAACATAACAGATCCGTTCCAAGAATAAAACAATAACTAAGATATGGTAAAACTTATGTACCCATTGCGCAAATACTCATATCAAAAGACATACGATTATAATATTTAAGGATATATAAATTTGGATAAATTGCTCATTATTCGCTCGTAAACTATTGCAAATCCAATATCCTTCTACAAAAAATGTTTTATGAACACACTAACTCGAATGAAATTCGAGTAAAAATGATTGAACGTAAAAATTTGACTACCAATGCTATAATATTATGATAGGTACGACCGGTGTCGTTAATAAACCGAATCATACGCAAGGTAGTCAATTAGTACGTTTTTAAAATTTGTTAAAGAAAAACAAAATCGCGTAAACTATTCCAAGAATTTATATTCATACAAATACGTATGATAAATCTCTGTGGTATCAGGAATACCAATAAATTGATAAAAAAATATATATTACAGATCTATCCAAAATAAAAATTATTGACCAAAATTAGGCGCTGATCGCCTCTTGAGCAAATATAGCTCAGGAGAATT